TTTTTTTTGTTGTTGTTGTTGTATTTGTTGTTGTTGTTGTTGTTGTTGTTGTTGTTGTTGTTGTTGTCCGATGAACCACGGATCAGATGTTAAACTGATCAGAACAGATACTACACTTGATCTTAGCCAAAAGGCCGAGAAAGGTATTGAGAATCTCAATCAGAGTACTGGGCCAGTAGAAAAATATAGGTAGAAGTATATAGAGTAGTATCCCCATGCGAGGTTGCAAACATTCCATGGCGTCCTCGTCTCGTCGACTTTCACAGGTTTTGCCTCCACTAGTAACCATTCATGTCCTCGTCTCGTCGACTTTCACAGGTTTTGCCTCCACTAGTAACCATTCATGGATGGATGCCTTCGTATTCCTGAGCTGCCCAACTGTCGTCGCCCAATAGAACGGATGATGGTAGGTATGGCTGGCATTGGCTCACATTTCAGTCCATAGGCAGCAAAGAAGTGACTGTACAGTGTACAGTGCACATTCTATTTGGGGGAAGACGGGGTTTGTTGCAGTCTCCATGGTTGATCTTTTTTTTTTTTCCTTCTGCATCTGTCTCCACCAAAGCGGTCTGCTGAGACCAGGCTGCTCTGTGCCGGTTTCTTGCCCATCGCTCGCCAGCATGCATCTCCTCTCCTAGATGGAACCATAACGTCCCCTGAGCATCAGGTGGTACCAAACTCTCGCTGCTTTTGAAGGAACTTCCAAGGAAGGGATTCTTTGTGTTAGGGGAGGAAGTAGGAAGGGATGCTTTGTGCGAAGGGAGGGACCATAAAGTACCTGCCATTGTAAGGCAAAAAAAAAAAACTTGTGGCGGCAAGGAAACCACATGACGTGCCAACTCCAATTGAGCAATGTCGGTCCGGAAGTATCCGTTGGCTTTTTCGTTTCCCCCTCTGACACCATAGCCAACCCCTGCAAATATGATGCTCGCTGGTCTGACACCACGGCCGCCGTCGGTATTTTTGTCGCCTTTTCGAACTCGGCACGTTTTTTTTTGCCCATTCGATACTCAGAATATTGAAAATGATATAGCAATTGTGAAACAGGAAAACTCAACAGAATAGCCATGATTTTGAGTAACCAGCGAAGGGTGACGTGAACGGACTTACCTCTTTTTTTCGTTTTTGTTTCCTTTCTTCTTTTTTCCTCAGATGTTCGATTTGCTAGTAGCAGGCAATGAGGCAGTGTATGCCTGCAGTTCCTCAGTCTGTTCAGACTGTGCCAGAGCCATTAGAATCCTTTTTTTTTTGTTCTTTTCTTTTTTTCTTTGTTTAAGCAAGGCTCCGATCTATTGAGACTCGCTGTTAGAATCCGGACAGGCACTTGGGCCAGATTAGTTGTGAACATAATGAAGGACCCAGAGGGGGTGGGGGTGTGCACCGGGGTAGTCGATCAGAGGAGGTGTGGAAGGGGCCCAAGGGGGTAATGTACTAGTTCGATGCTAGACCGAGAAAGAGATCTTACTCCTGTGACAGCTAGTATTGTAGACCGACATGTTTTAGCAATAGGATCTCAAGGAAAAAGTAGTAGAAAATATAACGGGGAAAGATAAAAAAACTGATTTAATTTTATTAAGGGGGTCTTCTGAGGTGTGTTACATCAACTTCTGAGGCCGCGGTGTGTGTCAGAGAGATCTCGGTGAGGTGGGTGTGTGTGTGTGTGTGTGTGTGAGTGTGTGAGTGTGTGTGTGTGTGTGTGTGTATGTGTGTGTGAAAGAGAGAGAGAGAGAGATCCGATTCGACGGTGTGTGTGTGAGAGATTCGACGGTGTGTGTGAGAGAGAGATCCACAATGTGTGTGTGTGTGAGACCCAGCGCTTTCAGCTCTGGCCGTTTGACTGACTTCTGTGTCGGTCAGGGGGCTTTCCCCTTAAACCACCAGTACTTGTGTGTGTGTGTGTGTGTGTGTGTGTGTGTGTGAGAGAGAGAGAGAGAGAGAGAGAGAGAGAGAGAGAGAGAGAGAGAGAGAGAGAGATCCGATTCGATGGTGTGTGTGTGAGAGAGAGATCGACAATGTGTGTGTGTGGGAGACCCAGCGCTTTCAGCTCTGGCCGTTTGACTGACTTCTGTGTTGGTCAGGGGGCTTTCCCCTTAAACCACCAGTACTTCCTAGAGTCGTGCCCGGTAACGCACCACAATTTTAGGAATCGTACGGGCTACTACAGGAGCGCCCAAATTCATCCGACTAGAAGCGTTTACTCTCTTTTTTTCCTACTTTTTTTTTCTGCGACCGATAGCTGGGCCAAGTACTCGTGGTTTAATCCTACCCCAGAAGCAGCATTGGCCGCGGGGGGGAGGTCGATGGTCCGCTGCGCACCGGAATTTAAGTTTTGAGGAGGGCCGGCAGATGAAGACGATCCAGGGTGGGGGAGTGTGCAGAGGGGCGTGCGTACCGAAATGTTCACAGCGCGCCATTAAACGAGCGAGCGCGCCCACGGGGTCGGGCGGCGGCGGGTGTAGATGTGAGGGAATATCTTGAAGCCTCTGCCGTCGATAAGCGGGCGGCCTTTTTTCTTTTAGCATTTTGAATCGTTTTTGGCCCGTCGTTTCCCGCTTTGTTTTTGCTTTTCTTTTTGTTTTGTGGCTGGCATGTCGTTCCTTTCTTTTTTTTTCCTTAATTTTCCTGCTTTTTGTTTTTTCTTTTATTTTTGTTTCCTGGTGGGTGTGTCGTTTTCTTTTTTCGTTTCTTTTTCTTTTCTTTTTGTTTCCCGGTGGGTTGTCTTTTCCCCGTGGGCATGTCGTTTCCCGCTTTTCGGTTGCGGGCGTAGGCCGCACCGCCCGCACCGCAGGCGCTAAGCTAGACTAAGTATATTACATTGGCTTTGTCCTGCCTCCGTGTAAGTTGAAGCCTATATAGGTTGCCATTGCCAGGCAGAAAATATGGCGCCCAGAATAGCATATAGCTGCATGGGCACAACAGCATGGAGACTAGGTCAGCAGAGTTTTCTGAATAGCGGCACATAATTATGTGCGAGAGATTGCACATGTGCCGGATATATGTGTACAGTGGATGTCCACTTGTCCATCGCCAGGCTGTCATTACCATACCTTGGCGGGGTGGCGCCTGTTGACGCTGGCGATATCCAGCCAGAGTCGGTGGGTAGGAAGGTGGGTCACCTGTCCTTGAGTCATGGGGCCTTGCTGCACTGCTCTCCGAATGTGCAAAATGAAACTGAATTCACCCCTAGAACGTGGAGAGATACATTGCCATTCTTTTGGTCTTTTGTGCATGTGGAGAGTAATGGCTTAAAGTTTCAGGAGAACCAGGACATGGGCGTGGTATCAGTCTGCTACATAACCTTCTTCGCTCAAATATAATGCCTGGCCATTACAGCTGTAGTTGGGCAATTTTCAGTCTAGATACAGCGATAATGAATGGGCACTTTTATTTTTCTGTTGATTTTCCCCCCTTACAGCAAGAGCTGGAAACCGGGTCCAGTACAGCTGTATGTGAGGCAACTTTCGGTCTAGATACAGTGATCAATTGATAATGAATGGCCAACTTTTTTTCTGTATTTTCCCTCCTTACAGCAAGAGCTGGAAACCGGGTCCAGTTCCACTCTCTTTGGAGCAACTTTCAGTCTAGGTGCACTGATAACGAATGGGTGCTGTTTTTTTTTTGTTTCTGTTGCCTCCCCCCCCCCCCCCCCCCCCCCTCCTCCCCTTACAGCAAGAGCTGAAAACCGGGTCCACTGGCCCTTAACAAATATGGAACTCACTCATGCCTCTTCCCATTACGGCGGAATGGAGCGCGCTCATGCCTCTCACCATTATGGCCGAGAGAACGTGAGCAAAGGTCTAACAATGGGGGTGGGGGTCTATTGGGGTGAAGTCATTTGTCCCCTTAAAAAAAATGGCCGTGCTTAGACAGATGGGCCAGATGGCTAAAGGGTGGTAGAATGAATGCTGCAATTTGAAGTTTAACTCAGTTTGTAGTATATAATTCCAAATGAAAGACAAAATGTATAGTATAAAAATCAAATTCCAAATGAAAGACAAAAAAATGAAACAAATGACCTTGAAATGATGGTGGTCAAAATTAATCAGATGGAAGGGTATGATTATTGTTTTTTTTTGAAGGTGAAATTGGATGAGAGAAACCTCTTTTTTTTGTGTGTGTGCGTGGAAGGCGACAGTAGAAGAGAAGTAAGATGGAGCCTTCGACACCGGATCGTACTTACCGGGGATGCTTTTAACTTGCTAAGTGGGTTTCCCATATACGACGTTTCGACCAAAAATAAATAAATAAATAAATAAATAAATAAATAAATAAATAAAGAAGAAGAGAGAAGTACCCTTGTGCGGATAGAGGTGAGTTTGGCTCTCAGATGTTTGAAAATGGCTTTCTGCTGCAGGATGGAAGGAAGAGCACGTCTCCAGATAGCAACGCATTGGAGAATGGGAAGTGCAAGCATGGTGATCTTGCTCCTTTGAAAGGTGGACCTCTCTGGGAGCTGCGAGAGACGAGTAGAGGAGTGAAGCGGCAGCAGTTCGATACACCACACACGAAGGTAGAGAAGCTAGAAATGCGGAGCGATCAACCTTCCCCTGATCATCGTGTGGCTGTGGCTACGAGTTTGCAGGATGGGCAAGGGCAAACCGCGTCCGATAAGCCGCAGAAGATGCACTGCCAGGCGGCCGTTTCCAATGCACAGAATTTGCGCACAGGGCCGAAGGGAGGGAAGCAGCAGCATCATACGGACTCCCGCGCAGAGGTAGACGATGAGAGAACGAAGATGGAAACGAAGCTCGTGCGGGAAGAGAAGGTGGCAATGCAGCGGTGTGTGTCTTCACCCGTCAACCATGCGGCCGTCGATCCGCAGGATGTGCGAAACACACATCGCGTCTTGCAGAGGGCGAAGGCCGTTGCGACTGCCGATGAGAGAGATCATACTGGGACACAGCCGACAAAGCACTCGGTATCGGACCGGGATCGGACTGGACTGCAGGTGTTCGAAATGGAACAGAGGGTCAAGAATGTCACCGATGCCGAGGGGGAAGGGAAGATTCAGAGGAAGCTTCTTCGCAACTTCACTGACTCTGAGAAGTCCGTAATGAGAAAGATGCCAAGTGGCACTGATGGGCTTGCATGGAGAGGAGCCCAAGGAATGAACAATGCGACGGCAGCGAAGGTGGCAGTGGGCAACGCAGCAGGGAGCATCAAGACGATGGTCGAACGGGGACCTCTTCCTCGTGCGTCATCGGAGAGGGCATTGGGGAAGAGCAGCAGCAACTACACGTCCGCTGAAGGTTTGGGGAAGGACGCCAGAGGGAGTGAGATTAGGTCTTCCAAGACGTCAGGACCGGGGGCGGCAGTGACTGCAGAGCAGTCGAAGGTGAGACAGGTGGAAGTCGATATTCCCGGTGTTGCACCAGGAGAGAGTGAATGCACACAAAGAGGTCTGACTGAGGACAAAGCTGCAGTGGAGGGGATTCCACTGTCAATTATGCCATGTTGTACTCTTTCGAACGAAGAGTTGAGCGTCTCGTCGAGAGAGACAGAATCTGATGAGGTTGTTTCAACGGGAGAAAGTGTAGGTTGTGATAAACATACGACGAGTCGGAGGTGGAATGCAGCAGAAGATGCTGCGTGTGTTGATGCTCAGGAAGATGATGCCCTTCTTGCAACCACAGAGAACGTGGCCATGGTAGGTATCTCTCTGTATCGTCGGCAGAAGATAGCATTATCCCCGAGCCTCGCCGACAGGAGCGAACGGTCAGCATCACGAGCCGGACCAGTCTTTGGATGTGCGGGGGGGATTGTTCACATAGAGTCTGACTTCAATCATGGCGCTGTCAGAGAGCTGCCTGTTGTGAAAAATGTCAAGGAAAGGACAAAGCAGCAGCAGCAAGTATGTTTTCATGAGACTGAAGAACGGCCATCGGATTTTTTCCGGGTTCCGTGCTCGGTGACGCGATCTTCTTCGGTGACACAACAAAGTGAGACCAAGACTCCCCTTTTTCTTTCTCCAACCTCTCAGAAAACCTCTTGCCTTCCTTCGCCCAAATCTCTGCGAATGCCTCATTTGCTGGTCTTCAGTTTGCCCGGGGGATCACAGACTGACGTAGAAGTGGAAGACGGTGAGCTAGAGGAGCAGCAATTGCTAGACTTCCCGGCCATGGCAGTCGATGACAATGAGGATATGCTTTTGGATGATGCGACGACTGACCTATGGAAGCTCCACGTTGACGAAAAACGGGCGTTTCAGACGAATGGCCTCCTAGGTCGGGAGGGGGCGCGGTCTTTTAGTCTCCCTCCTTTTCCAATGGCAGCTCTGGACTCCGTTGTCAGCAAACACTGGAGCGTGGAACGGACCATCCCTGCTCATGCCACTGCGGATCGGGAGACGCATTCGTTCCCTCTTCTACCGATGGCCCAGACATCCGGCCTTAAACCGCGGACTCTGAGAGCATCTGGCAATGATAAAGTGGATTCGGTTTCAAGCTCCTGTTGTTCGATTGCCGATGCCAAGCAGAGTCATGAAGGATTCGACTCAAACCAGTTGCAAGATCTGGCGATGCTCGTCATCCCACCTTTAGAGTGGAATCTTCAGCACAGAGAGCCGATAACTGGTGGCTTGCCAATACCAAGACGAAAAGGTTGGGGGCCAAGGATGGGGAAGATGGCGCTTGTCGTCTCAGCCTTTGCAATAGCCTATTTTGATGCATCTCGATGGCGGCACAAATGAGGATGATCTGTTGCAATTCATGTGCTCCTAATGTGCCACCAGTGATGTATTGTGCGATCAGTTGTGTTATTTATTGCAGCTTTGTGCATCGTAATTTCCGAACTAAGTCTTCCGGAGTCTGTATCGAACGGATAAAGTGCTGAAGAAAATCGCCGCCGCCGCATTTTGAGCTGCATGCATGTGAACATTGTGAAGCTTTTCTGGTGTCGTTGTGAGGTTCCTTATCGGTACCCAGTTAGTACACTGTTGAGCTATGTTTTTGTGGAGTTACACTCACTGTTGAGCTATGTTATTGTGGAGTTTTTCTGTAGACTATGTCATGGTATGTTCACATAGGTTATGTAGTGCAGGTGTACTAAAATTTTGTCTACTATTTTGAAATGCTCCTGACTTTTTTCAGGTACTCATGCACTGGAAATCATGCGACGTCGCTGTCGGACGTGCTATTTGCACCCGCCTGTATGCGAGGACGAATCATTTTCCTTGTGGACTGGTCCTGCTCCACAGACTTTGTGCTGCAGTCTGCAGATAAGCTAAACCACTCGCTGCTGCGGCACACAAGACAGTGAAGGTGTGCGAGTGCTAGTCAGACAGGAGAGGTCCAGTTGACGAAGTATGAGATTGCATGCGTCGGGTGTCGGTGAGGGTGGAAGAAGGGAAATAGAAAAGCATGAGGAGTAACAGGCTGAGCAAAACAGGATAGAGAATCGAGGGCACAGGGTACTGGAGGCAAGCGGAGACATGCTGAAGCAGGAGGCAGGATCTCTCTCTCTCTCTCTCTCTCTCTCTCTCTCTCTCTCTCTCTCTCTCTCTCTCTCTCTCTCTCTCTCTCTCGAACATCGCAGACAGAGAAACCAAGTGACCAGTCACCTGGACACTGGGTTTCGCTGTGTGCTGCAGGTTCATGAAGGCTCTGACTGTGGCTGGTTGGGGGGCTCCAGAACAGCCGGCTTGGGCCGAGAGAGTTTGCAGCCTGCTCAGGCAGTTTCAGAATGACTGACTGTCAAATTTGCCTCTGTTTTATGCGTGCAAGCTGTCCATGCAGCGCATCTGCATTTGTTTCATCTCAGTGATTCAAGAGAGGAGAACGCTGTCTCAGACTGGCTGAATGCTAGATTTGCCTCCTTTCGATGCCAGCAACCTGTTCGGCGTACGCACATTCGTTTCACTTCCCGCACTTCACGATGTTATGTCCCCTAACGGTTATGTTTCTCTCCTGTACCGATTGTTGCTCTCCTCATCTCTGTCCCTCCATTGTCACCACACCATTGCGTGCTCCTCGTGCACCCCCTCTGTTATTCCTGTAGTTTTGAGGTTTTGTCGTCCTGCACCCCCTCTGTTTTTCCTGTAGTTTTGAGGTTTTGTCCTCCTGCACCCCCTCTGTTTTTCCTGTAGTTTTGAAGTTTTGTCCTCCTGCACCCCCTCTGTTTTTCCTGTAGTTTTGAGGTTTTTGTAGGTTTTCTCCCAGTGGACTTTCGACGTCTTTTGTATGTGTAAGAATATGAGGAAATGATTGTATCATCATGTTCTCCATGATGTCTCCGTTTTGAAGTTATGGGAGGGGTGGTCTCCATTTTGAAGTTATGGGAGGGGTGGAACCTCCTACTTCCTAGGATAAAGCCCTCAGACTGGAATTTGCAGGTTTAACTTATCTCATTCCAACATGCAATGCCTTGTGCATGGCCGGGGTGGGTCGACGAGGGTTTCCGGTGGTGGTGGTATTGATATTCATTTGTCTGGTAAAGGCCATAGGAGAACACTCTGGGGTAAAAAAAAAAAAAAAAAAAAAAAAAGAACATTCTGGGGTGCTCCTTTGTCTCGGTATGGGCCCATGGACTGCAGAGGTGCAGGTAGCCCCAGTGGTCTTGCAGTACAGTTGCCGACGCCGTACTTGTTGGAGGTTGTCAAATCGTTCGGACTCGAATGTTCTCCGTGGCCACAGTGGATTTCGACAAGTCGCATGATGCTGTCATTTGCAGTGGAGTCGGTCCGGGATCGGGAGTGTTTTCAAAGAGTATGTTGTGCGAGAAGTCGAGAACCCGACATAGGTGTTGTACCTGACATGCGATGTTTCCGCGATACTTCCGTGATGTTTCTACGATGTGCCCACGTACTGCGGTAGGTGGCGAATAGCACGGCATGACGTTTGCACATTGGTGGTACATAGCATGCGGAGTCATTGCGGACATGGCTATCTTTTTTTTGGAAATGACCCAAATGAGGTGTGCAGGTCTGAACAGTCAGTCGTACCTGACGAAAGCAGTGTCTGGAAAAAATGTATGCTAAGTGCCCTCATCTGGCCCTCCAGAGGGGGCCTTGATGACAATGTCAAGGTAGGCTTTTTTTCGCTACGAAGCTTGTTGAGGGGAGGTTTATGTCTATATGTGGAGATGTGATACAGCTTTATACGACGAATGTACCTTGGCAAACATTACAGCTTCATACGATGAATGTACCTTTTTGCCAAACAGAAAACAGAGCTGCTCGGGAGTCGGGCGTACGATGAAGGATCTGTGTAGGTTTCGATCGGTCATGAGCTGTAGCGGTCAGGCCTTCCTCAGTGGGAATTATAACAGAGCTGCTTTATGAGTAGGCACAGAGTACAGTACTTGACGACTTGTGTGGGGCGAAGGCCTGTGTGGCGTCATCTGTGTAGGTTTCGATCGGTCATGAGCTGTAGAGGTCAGGTGTTCCTCAGTGGGAATTATAGCAGAGCTGCTTTATGAGTAGGCACAGAGTACCGTACTTGACGACTTGTGTGGGGCGAAGGCCTGTGTGGCGTCAACATCTAACGGTCAATGTCAGTATCCGGTGAGCAGGTCCAGCATGTGTGGGGGCTGAGGCCTGTGTGGCATCAACTTCTAACATTCAGTGTGAGCAGTGAGAGAGTAGGTCCAGCATGCTTCTGAAGTGTCCTGATTTTGTCCAACATTTGCATTCCTATGCTGATATGCTCCGCCGGCTCGTTGACGAGAGGAGTACGTGGGTTGAGCCGGCACATTTACCATTTACGGCATGCTTCTGAAGTGTCCTGATTTTGTCCAACATCTGCATTCCTATGCTGATACGCCTTGCCGGCACGTTGACGAGAGGAGTACGTGGGTTGAGCCGGCACGTTTACGAGAGGAGTAGAAGTACATAGCCAGGTGCACAAGGGCTTTGGACTCGTCGTGTAGTCGCTTTGCTGGCATGTCTAGCAGATGAGTATGTGGGTTGACGACAAAAATCTGTACTTCATAGCCAGGTGCAGGAGGCCTACTCTGCCCAGTGCTGGCACGTCTTCACGGGTCGATGAAAGAAGTACGTGGCGAGGTGCATGAGGCCTCTGGACTCTGTGCATCTTGATGAAAATCTACGTAGCCAGGTGCATGAGGCCTCTGGACTCTGTGTTCACTGTTTTGCCGGCATGTCTAGCAGAGCAGTATGTGGCTTAATGAGAAAAAAAAAGGCCCATAGCCAGGTGCAGGAGGCCTACTCTGCTCATTAGCTTTGCCGCGGTATGTTTAGCGAGCAAGAGGAGTGTATGGCTTGATGAACCAACTACGTAGTCAGGTGCATGAGGCTGCTGGACTCTCCGCTGATCCTCAGCTCTGCCGGCATGTGTAGCAGAGGAGTATGTGACCGGCGGGTGAGAGGATTACATAACCACCAGGTGCATTTGAGGCCCATTTTTGTAGCCAGGTGCATGAGGCCTCTGGACTCTGCGCATTCACATGAAGCTTGACCCCTGTGTTTTGCCGGCAGAAGACGAGTTTTGACAGAAATGCCGAGTTGTTTTGTCTTCCGAGCCGGCCCTCGATGCATTTTTTGAGAGGTCGATGCGTCATATTGCGACTCATATGTCAGGGATGCTGCATTTTGAGAGTCTGTCTGTGGCCGATGCACTCTGGAGTTTAGTTTTGAGAGTGTCTGCGCTACGGATAATTTTTATTTATTTTTTATTAAATATAATGGAAGGACTGTGCGTGATGTGTTTCAGGAGTTCGCCTTCGATTCGTCCATTCGGTAGCACGTTTCGTCAGTTGTATGATCAGCCTACTTGTGTGCTGTCATCCAGGCAGAGCATCCTGAGGCTTGCCGTTGCTTCTGGCTGGTTCGAGAATGCTCCCGCTGTGGCTGTGTTTTTTTTGTTTTTTGCGCTACCCAAGCCAAGGCTGCGGCATTATACACCATACTCAGCGGAACGCATGAGCTCCTTACCCCTGGAACTATGGACCATGCGGGGGTGAGAGAGCTTGCAGCCTGGGGAGTGGAGGAGAGGCAATCTTGGGAGTCTTAGCTGCACCGGCCTGTTGGAGTTCGTTTCGTCTGATGATATCTAATTTAATAATTTTAATTTATATATAGAAGACGTTGTGGCTTTATGAGAACTGGAGTGGAGACTCGAAAAAAAAAAAAAAAAAAAAAAAAAAAAAAAAAAAAAAAAA